AAATTACTTTTCCTATTAAAAAAGGTCGATTTGAAATGGAGATTGGAGTGGGGCCATCTTGCACCAGAACTCGAGTAAAGTTGTATTTTTTAAATCCACAAGAGCCAAGACAACATAAGGATCTCTTAACCATACAAAAAACAGCAAATTAATGCGTGGCTCTCATGAAATGACAACGTAGTATTTCTTAACCCCTGTTTGAGTCGCATTATTGTAAAAACAAAAATGAAAAATATAATTATTATGAATCTCACATAAAAAATAAAAAGTCAAATATGATGATTTGATGTGATGAATAACGATTATATTTTTTATTTTAAAGAGAAAATATTGGGACTCAAACTGAGCCTTAATATGATCTTTTTAATTAATTAAATTCTTGGATTTTTTTATCAAGATAATATAGACATATATGATATATATCACGTACTAGTAACTCTATTGTAAATCATACCTTGCACTTGCAGGGTAAGAACAGCCAGATGAGCCTGTAAATCAACCCAAAGAAGAGACAGTGAATAGTAGTAAAACTTTCTATGGTTAAAGACACTCCCAAGTCACAAAATTTACAGCCAAATTTCACTTTAATCACCTAATCTTCATTTTTTGTCTCTTCATCCATCTCCAGTAAATTGAATGTGGCAGACAACAATGATTCTAACCCTACTGTACTCGGTGGCAATAAAACTTTAGCACACATTCTCACAAACGCGGTGATCAGTACAATAAACGAGATTTTAGCTCTTGTTTTCTTTTAATATTCTGCACTATGAAGTCCATCTTAACAAACATGCCATTCCGGTCTGTAGAGACTTACTGGGATCAGATGTGACTGTGTAGGCAGTGCCTGAAAAATCACAGGCTGTTGGGGTTTGGCCTTTCTTTTGGAAATAACTGTTGACAGCATAGTTGCAGTGAGCCCTCACAGTATTTGGGTTAAAACAAGGTCCATTTTGGTGGGTGGGGTTGCAATCAGCCCCTGCACCACATGCATAATCCAGTGTTTTTTGCAAGGCTTGATCACTCAGTCCCTCCTTGCAAATGCACCAAGTTGCACCTACCAAAATACCACAATAAATGAGAAGAAATTTAAACAATAAGGGCATGTGTTGGCTAAGCTTTTTTCTTACTTCTTGAAGATACAATGCGAGGATCCTACAACCCAAAAAAGTTAAAATAAAAGAGAAGATAATGAAAAGATCCATTTGCATTCACATCCACCCATGTGCAGGAAAATTTAAGAAATAAATTAGAGGATAATCAAGAATGCTTTGCAGTAACGCATTTTGTTTGGCGTGGTATTATGGAATTTTTTCAGAAACTAGTTTAGTAAACGCAAAAGAACATCTTATGAATTTATTTATTTTTTCTCTAAATGCATTATATTTTATGCATATTTAAGCCTTAGAAAATAGTAAAAAAGGACAGAAATTGTAGTTGTAAAATGCTTACTTGAATGAGCAGCCATGGCTAAAATGAGAACCAGAACCAGAACCAAAAATCTAGCCATGAGAAAAGGGATTACACACAATGTTGAGAAAGAAAATGCTGAGAAATAGAGGATTGTAAGGAAATAGAAGACGAGATGAGTGAGAGAGTAACTGTGTGTTCTGTGTGTCAATGTGAGAGAGAGATATAAAAGGGTGAGGGTGAGATACAAAAGGGTGAGAGAGAGATATATAAGGGTGTATTGAATATGGTGAATGCTAGTGGGGATGCAGGTGGCCCAGGCTGGTATACACTGCCGGCTTGCTACGTTGTGCTTGTTGTTATTTGAATTTAGAGCTTTATTTATCCAAAAAAAAAATGTACGATAAGGGTAAAATCGTCTTTATAAATTTGTTAGGCAACCGGAACTCAAGTGCTACAAAAATAGAATGTTGACGGTAGGACTGTAAGCAAAAATCGCAAAATTTAAAAATCGAATTGAAATCGCATCTTAGAAATCGTGGGTTTGGTGCCATGTGGACCAGGTCAACGAAATGGTTTTGACCCAAACCAAATCGGTCAAAATGGTTTGGTTTAGGTTTGAAAATTTTAATTGCGGTTTAAAATCAAACCGGACTGGCGAAAAAATACATAAAAATAAAAAAATGAAATTTTTTGAAAATTCATCCAAATATGTAAAATTCAATAGTTTTGTCATTTGTTAATATTTTTGTCAATTCCTAATTTTCTAATATTGATATATTATTATTATTATTATTCAATAATCCTAATATATATTTAATAATTTTAAGACTAACATAATCTATCAAAAGTCTTTTTCCTTTTCAAAATTTAGATGAATTTCAGTCGACACCCAACACAGTTTTGAGCCACCGGCACCACACACTTCTTTTCAGATTTTTCACGCATTTTCAAAGTTGAATTGAAGTCCATTATACCAAATCGGAGACAAAGAGATTCTAGACTTTCGGTGATAATATTTGCTTCAAATAAAGTTTCAGATCAATAATTTTTTGGAGCAAACTAAGGTAAGAATCTGAAATTAAATGTGTTTCGTAACATCATACAAACGTAAACTTGTGTAATTGTTATGTTTAGATATTATAAACAATTGCTTTATTATTGTAGTTGGTTATTCTCTTTGTTTAATCAATATATTTTTTTCAGATATGATGATCATAAAGTCTTGTTGGATATCATTATGTTTTTTGAACCTTATATCTAGTTTAATAGATTTGTATTGTAACGTTATTGTATCGTCATTAGCCTAAAAA